GCTCGCTGCTGAGAATCGAGGGAAACACCGTCAAGTTTCTTCATCTACCTATCCATATATCAATCTACCTACCTACCTCTCGATCTATCCATCCATCCATCCATTGATCTACCTACCTACCTATCCATATATCTATCTACCTATCTATCTATCTATCTACCTACCTACCTATCCATATATCTATCTATCTATCTATCTATCTACCTACCTATCCATATATCTATCTATCTATCCATCCATCCATTGATCTACCTACCTACCTATCCATATATCTATCTATCTATCTACCTACCTATCCATATATCTATCTATCTATCTACCTATCTATCCATCTATCTATCTATCTATCTATCTATCTATCTATCTATCTATCTATCTATCTATCTATCCATCCATCCATCTATCTATCTATCTATCTATCTATCTATCTATCTATCTATCTATCTATCTATCTATCTATCCATCTATCTATCTGGGTAAACAAATTACCAACAAAATGCTCCAAAAACAACATGGTCGTTGGTGGATTTCATTTTCGGAAATTCGCCGTTACCCTCGAAATTAGTTTCTCTACTTTTACTTAATCTGAGGATGTATTCCACCACTGTGTTCTTATGGATGGATAGATTGATGGATTGATGGATGAATGGTATAATGATAAAAAATTGAGAAAAGTGGTGGTTGATTTGGACAAATTACCAACAAAATTGTCCAAAAAAAACATGGTGGTTGATGGATTTAATTTTCGGAGTACTTTACTTTAGATACTTTTAGTAACTTTGCAGGACTTTCAATGTATTCTTTCTTCTTTTACTTACATTAAAGACCACGACTGATGGCTAAATTGACGGATGGAGATTAAACATGGAGAAGAAGGGTGGTTTATTTCGACTAATTGCCGACAAAATGTTCCAAAAGAAAACATGGTAGTTGATGGAATGGGGGATAAAAGAAAGGAGTGATGATTGTTGGAGGAATCAGCAGAAACATGGCTCTGAAGGCAGGCTGACGGATGGTGGGATGGATGGAAATGTGCCGGGGGACTTTCTGCATGGTGGAGGAATGGATGGATGATGATTGTTGGAGGAATAATCAGCAGAATGGATGTGTTAATACATTTATGAAGTCGTAGACGAATGTGCAGAACAAGGGTAGAAGAGAATGGATGGAAAACTGCATGCATGACATTCTGGATCAATGCAGATATAAAAATATCAGCAGATAATTAAATGTCAACAAATGAGCGCCATCTGTCAGAGGTGATCTTTTGTCTCTTTGATTCTTTTGTCTTCAGGCTGAATGAGTTCACTGTGGAAATGTCACCAGTTGTTTGATTTCTCTTCATCACCAGTCCCCTTTTCTCTGTTCGCCGAGCGCTTGTTTGTTTATTTTGTTTGTCTTTTACATGTTTAATGCAAATCACTCTCAAAGTGCGTTCGAAAAACAATCCGTTTGTCATTTTCGGACGATTTGGTTTTAGTTTCTCTGCATTTCCCTTATCCAATTCGCTTTAGATACCTGAGAGATGCAGGTAAAGTTAATGAAAAAGCTTCAGCTGGTGTGAATGAATCCCTGTGTGTTGGTTTGCTTCACACTGCCTCTGAATGGTTTGTTAAACGGTTGTCAGCGGCAAAGTGTCGCGACTCGGTATCGATTTCGTTGTTTGCCGTCTGGACAGATGGCTGAGTGAACGCTAGCGGCTAATTGCTCCATTAATTACCTCATATTTACTCAGCGAGTTTCAGCTACAACCAGAAAACCTGCCTCTGTGTGTCTGAAGCACTTTCTGTTGACCCTACGCATTCAAACATCCATTGATTTCTACTTCTTAAAGCACTATTTCCTAAAAACAGGGGTAAAATCATCATTTCAACGTCTGTTTTGATATTTTCTTTAATTAAGTGTAATTCTTCCTCATATTGTTCTTATTTTAAGATTGTTTGCACCATGTCAGTTCGTTGTGTGAAAAGGATCTATTTTGTTTAAGTGTCCTTCCACTGATTTCACAATTGAATACGGGAGTTGACCTGTCTTTGTTAATATGACTCAACCTGTATAACCAGTTTAAAGTCTGTTTGCCCTGAAGCAGTTTTGTCATGTCTGTAAACGTTACTCTGATAATGTCACAGTGATGCAATTAGGGTTGTTAGGTCACTTAACATTTCTAAATATCATGCTTGGAAGATGTCGACATCTATCAGGCTGGTAGGGTATGACAATAGGGATTATTGAGAGAAGATATTCTATAAGAAATCAGCAAAACTGTGATTTTCTACAAGAAGGATCACAAAATATAGAAAGGGGTATGAAGACACTTTAAAATTAAACAATTTTTTTTTCAAAAAACGATGAAATACTTTTAATATAATGTTGTTGATTTGGGAAATTATAAAAAACAACAACATATCCATGTGAATGATTCCAACAGCTTGGTTACAATGGTTTGAATAAAGTACAGAAACATGTTTTAAATGTGCTGGTAGGTTGAAGACATACTTTATACCTTGAGCTCCAACCTTTATATATACAGTCTATGGCTCCAACCACCAAGACCAGCATTTATGTTTCTAAATGAAGTGAACATGAAGAAGAAAGGCTGAGGCTGTAATGGAGACGCAGAGTGACTCAGTGAGATTCTCCAACAATAGAGAGAAGAGTCAGTGTGAAACAAAAGGAGGGAGAGAGACAGAAACAGATGGTGTGCAGCAGAGAGTGTGAATAAACATGAACACTGTTTCATTCACACTCTCTGCAATCCCAGGGTTTTTCCATTGGATTGAGGATTACTGCAAACGTTTATGATACTTACACGTTTAGTTCAGCAGGATAATCTCAACATATTCACAACACTTATATTAACAAGCTAATGTTGGGCTATAAAGGAAGTACAGCACGGTCACATGACTTCACGTCACCACCGCTAAGCTAAAGGCGGCTAATGTTGGGCTATAAAGGAACTACAGCACGGTCACATGACTTCACGTCACCACCGCTAAGCTAAAGGCGGCTAATGTTGGGCTATAAAGGAACTACAGCACGGTCACATGACTTCACGTCACCACCGCTAAGCTAAAGGCGGCTAATGTTGGGCTATAAAGAAACTACAGCACGGTCACATAACTTCACGTCACCACCGCTAAGCTAAAGGTGGCTAATGTTGAGCGTAATGACGTTTAGTCGTCTCATTTAGACACTTGTTAGAATCCACCATTTTTTAATTCACCAGTGGGGTATTTACTGACATATGGAGAACAAAACTTTAAAAGCTCTTCAGCTTGTGTTAACCACAGACCTTATTTCAGGCAATACTGAAATACTGAATACTGAAATCGTCATCTAAAAACTATTTTATCAATATATTTTGTATATTAAAGCATCATCAGCTCAAACAACATGTCTAATCCCTCTTTAACATTAGTGTAATAGTGTAAAAACTATCTAGATATTTCATTTTTGGACTTAGTCTTTTTCATTTGTCTCGAACAACTCAACAGGAACATGAGAAACAACATGAACTGGAAAGCAAGCATCCACCCACTACACCCCCGAGAGTCCTCCTGCCTCCACACATCCAGAGAGAAAGCAGATATATTACAAAACCAACAAAACGCCAACAGGCAAAACAAAAAGTGAGAGGAATAAACAAATGACCCGGAAAAACCCAGGCAGGAAAGAACACATACAAGAAAAATGATCTGGGTACGTCAGAGAATGTATTTAATTTAAACAGCTAATCAGACTACAACCACATTAATCATATATAAAGCCATAGCAGAAATAGAATTGTGTAATTGGTAATCCGTCACAACCTGCATGAAGTCCGTGCTATAATAGAACCATATTAACTATTGATACAATATTAAATATGCAAGTTAAAATTAGCGTCCTCACATCATTTACACAGAGGATCCTTCAACATCCGAGGCGGGTCGGTCACTTTCAAAGAGAGGAAATATGAAATGGAGCCGTGTAGCCTTTCTGTGCCTTTCAGTCTGCGCTGAGGGAATAATTGATCAGCTCGAAGTCTCATGAATAAGTAATCTGGTGTGAGAGTTAGCAGCTCATC